TTTCCTTTGCATTAGGAATGTTTCCCACCTGGTTATTCCTGAGTCTGGCTATGAGGTGGAATTGTTACTGCTTGATTGGTTGTCAACTGTGACTCTGACCTGAAGTCCAAAAGAGCAAAGGAGGCTGTATTTTGCTTGATGTGTCTTGAGTCATCAGAGACCTGTTGGATGCTGTTATAATTATTTTCCTGCCTTTTCCTTTTTGTAGCACATTTCTGTCATCAGAGCAGATGCTCAGTAGAAGATATGAGTACATGTAAGTCTGTAAGATCTTACTGTTTTTCAATCTGAATGTGTAGTCACTCCATAACCTAAACAACTAATGAAATGAATATTTGGCCTAGTCAGCTGCCTGTCACTAGACAGACACATTCACACACACACACACACACACACACACACACACACACACACACACACCTATGTATGTAATCCTGTATAAATCAAGGCGCTTAAAGGATTCAAAATGATGTTAACAATTGGGCATAAGTGGGCAACAGTTTATGGGACCAAGCTTTATTTTATTCGTTACTAAAACTAAATCAGAAACAGTTCCAGATTTGTTTTGAAGAAAAGAAGCTTAATGTAATGAGTTTTCTTAGAGAGTAACTTCTGGAATCTTTTGTGTTACATCCATGGAAAAGCCCATTTTATTTGAGTTTAATATTTACTGTGGAGTTAATCCCTGTTTGTAAAGCCTATCCGGAGGTACAAAGATGCTTTGTTGTAACAACCTATGCACTGTTTTGAAATTGATTGCATTTTGTTTTAATGGAAGTTAATTTGGTAACTTTTAGGTAAATTCATTTATGTATCATTGGTCGTCATCTAATAGAAAGTGTTCTGTGCCCTATGGAGGTTTTGTGTTTTGGTTTTTTGGGGGTTTTTTGGGGGGGAGGATGAGAAGCTTAGCAGCCTCTGCTCCTCCCAAGGAGGACATTGAATAACTGAATTGAATTGGAATGCATTTAAATTAAGTGGCATTTACAGTTGGAGTTCTAAGTGAATACCTATGTTACTTGGAAAGGCTTAATTAAGACTTCTACCTTCTATGGGTTTTTTTCTTTTAAATATTTAGTTTGTATTTGAAGGTGTTACATCTAAAAATGTATCAGTAACCCTTTAGCCCATTGTTAAAAATGTTTATGTCAGGTATGGAGTTTAGATAAAGATGTAAACAGCATAGGGTATTTATAGCCTAAATAGTATTTTTTTTTTGTTGGCCAGCCAAAGACAAGGTTTAGTCAAACACAATCAGGGGTAGGTGAAATTTAAAGAATCTGCCACATTGGCCAGGCTCTTAAGGAATTTAAGCATTTGTATGGCTAATGCAAGTGGGCCAGATCTTAAGAACCTGAGCCTTAGGCTAGACTCCTAAAGAATCTGAGCATTGGCTAGATTATAAGTCTCTGAGCACGTTAATGGAGGTCAGATGGACTTTAAATACAGAAAGATTGAGGGAGGGATCTAGGAGTGACCAAGTAGGTTGGGGTGACTGGAGGAGGGGTATAAGAAGGATATGGATGGGAGTGGACAGTGAGCTGGTGTGAACAGACCTCCAGGGACCTGGACCAGGTGTCCAATGGAGAATGGAGTCTAGCCAGGATTAAGGATGGGAAGTGGCCAAGTGCAATACGGAGGTAACAGAACAGAATTGGGAGATTGGGTGTAGCCACAATGAAAGACCAGTTGAGCGGACTGCAGCCTCAGGCAAATGCCAGGGATTTGGGAAAGTCCAGGGATTTTCCTTTTGGGGGTCCAGATGCCAAAGACATGATCTTTTCCTTTTAGAGGTTCAGATACCATCCCCATCACTCCCCCCTCAAACAAATGGAACCCAAATTCTCTTGGGGTGAGGGGCAAAAGTCTTGGCTTTCTGAAACTGCTTCTTGCTGGCAAGGGTCATAGAGCTATCCCTGCCCTTGAGGGGGTCCCAAAGAGGAAATTGACTAGAAGGGAGCACAGGCTGCATCTAGAGGATGATGGGGGGACATTGGCTGGTACCCACTGTTTGCTATCAACTGTAGATGAATGGCTTGTAGTCTAGAAAGACACAAATCTGACAGAAAAGACTGCAGGGCCCAGATATAGGGAGAAGTAAAAGTGTAAGAGCCCCATTAAAATCATTCACATTTGATGTTCAGGGTTATCTGATCTTGTTACTTTCTCCAAAGTTTAAGTAACACTTTAGCAGGTAAAAGTTTTCCACACCTGGGTTCAATAGGTACACGAATGAATTTGCCAGAGAAGGACTTTCACTTCAATTATCCTCCTGAAACCAAACAAAAGATGTTTCTGATTTAATTTCAGTTGTTTGGAGGTATTGAATGACTACCCATTCAGGTCAAAACAGCAAGATCTCACACACTTGCACTGACCTTTTACTGACCACTTGTTCTGAGGACAGAAATTTGTTATTAAAGGATAAAGCAGGGACAAGATCTAGGGGGCCCAAATGTGATGGGATAAAATATCCTCAGCTCCCTTTGGATCCAGATAATTCCATTTTCCAACCATGCAGTATCAAATCCACCTCATAGCCAGACTCAGGAATAGCCAGGTGGCTAACATTCCTTTTCAAAGGAATATAATGGGGGAAACTGAGCCAGGAGGATCCCATCTTAGACTGAGGCTAAAATGGTCTTCTCAGTTTTTCCCGATGTAGACTTCCCACCTGTATCACATTCTCTGAGTACCTTGTGGCATTTCTATCAGAGATGGTGGATTATTGATTGTTGATAGATTATTATGATCCATCAAACAACTCAAAATAAAATCACGTATGGTCCCTTCACCTTCTATCTCAAACAGCAGGTTTCATTCATCACAGCTTAGGAAAAACTTTTCCTGGATTTACATCTCAAATTTAAATTTGTCCTGGCATAAAAAGCCAATTGTTAGAGATGATTTCCATGTACTTGAAAATTCTCGACAAGCCATAGCCCCAATAAGCTTTTTGTTAAGTTTACACATTAAAACGATAACCAACAATAGCCAAATTGCTTTAGCTGTAACCAAATTATGAAAAGTCACTTGACGTAACTAATACAAAAAGTTTACCGATTGGAAACTTGAAACAAAGCCATTAGCAGTTAGGCAACTTCAGTTTTGTTAAATGCATTTCCAAATTGCTTTATCCAGAGAACTGGCATCTCATCATTAACATGCTAAAACTACAACTTTAAAAGAGCTGCTTACTCAGGTTGTAGGCTAGCTAGTTTCTTTACCCTGGCCCATCCCCCTTCCCTCTCTCCCCCCCTCTGCTGAGGGTTGAGGTGGGGGTGGGGGATGAGCAGTATGTGCTGAACTTGGGTGGTGCTTCCAGGCAAAGGTTGCCCCAGGGCCCAAGGTCATTGGCAGTGGGGCCCACGCTGTAGTTGCTGCCTCTCCCCACTCCTTACTTTCGCCAAATGGGGGAGGGGGGATTCCAAGGTGAGGGGGGGGAAGGGTAAAATTCTCTTCTCCTGGGAGAAAAGGATATCCTCTTGAAGCAAGGGAGGGCAGTGGGAGAATGGCATGACCAAGCTTGTAAGCTTCAGAACTCCTTAATTAATGATCAGTCACAAACCTTCTAGAATCTGCTAAGAGGTTTTTAGCTGTCCTAACATTGCCCTGTAGCCTCCACCAAAAAGGATTCAAGGGTGTAGAGGAAAGGGGTAAGTAAGCCTCATGGAACCAAAAAGCACCTGCAGTTTTCCCTATTGCCTAGAGCCCAGAAAATTGACAAAATTGGGCATATGCTTCCAGATAGGGCGTCCATCCTTGTGCTCTAGGCTGCCGAAGGCACACACAAATCCATGGCCTCGAACTGAACCCCTGAACCAAGAGCCTGAGAGCTGGCAGCATAAGTGCAGACAGCCTCATAGCTGTCTGCCCAAAAAGCACCTCCAAGCCTTCCTAGGTGCTTGGAGAGCAACCCCAAATGCAGGGCAAGTAAGAGAGGGACAAGAGGCTCACATACCTTCCAGTCTTGGCTGAGGAAGAGCTTGGGGTTAGGCAGCTTCCCTTTACAAGCCACCAAAATGTTGAGCTTAAGAGGTTTAAGGGTACTGGGACACCAATATCACAACACTTGGGGCCTGCCCCAACTACTTCAACCCAAGCCTTCTTTCAGCCAAAGACAAGGTTTATTCCAACATCTATCAGGGGTGGGTGAGATTTAAGGAATCTGCCATATTGGCAAGACTCTTAAGGAATCAAAGTATTTCTATGGCTAATGCGGGCTGATTGGATCTTAAGAATCTAAGCCCTTGGCTAACTCCTAAAGAATGTGAGCATTGGCTAGATTATAAGTTTCCGACTAGCTTAAGCAGGATTCAAACCTTGCGTTGAGATCTATTTTGCCAAAGCTTTCAGCTGGCACATCAAAGGAGTCTCTACAAGTCACTTGGAGCCAGGGAAGACAACCTGCTGATGGGGTGACTCTGAGGACGTGATATTTTATGGACTACCCCAAAAAAAGATGCCTCCAAGGAGCAGACACCTGCTTGGGACACCAGGGACTCAAGACAAAATGTGCAGCTGGACTGAACCTGGCTCACATTTTTATTTGGCCATTACTTTGTTCTCTTGTTTTGTGGGGTTTGTTGACCGTTGGTGACTTTGCTGTTCAATTAGTGGGCGGGGCATTAGCCCTTCAGGGGAAGAGGGGTGGAGCCTCCCAGCCACCTTTACTCACATTCACTTAGCTCCAATCAGCTACTGCCAGGTTGCATCCTTGCCCAACAGGTGGGCGGGCCCTGGAGCTAGGCCCTTTAAAACGAGGGCAGCCGGGAGGCTGAGCAGCAGGAAGCAGCTGAAACTCCAGCAGAGCACAAGCACTGAAGCTCTTCTGAGCGGACTTTCTCTACTCTGACGTTTTAAGCCTAAGGTGTCAGAAGAGTCATCTCAGGGAATCACTGACCCGTGCAGGTCACTCAGTAGCCATATCGCTCCTCTGAACCTCCCTCCCCCCCTCCCGGACCCCTTTGCTTTTCTTATCCCGGAGGAGCACTGTTCACCTAAATACAGCCAGGAAGACTCCAGAACTCTTGCCTCCATCAGGCTCAGTCACCCTGTTGCTACTTGCCATCGTGAGGATGAACAGGGGGCCTAAGAACGGAGGGAAGGCTGAGAAGAAGTCAAGCAACAAGGATCCAATCCCCGCGAGGCGAAGGAAGAAAAGCCCATACGAGCCAGAGCTCCGAGGACTTGGCCATCGAATTTCCCCCCTTCCCGGCCAGGGACAAGCACTGCCGCGGAACGCAGCAGCATGCCCGGAAGCCACAGCCTTGGGATCCTGGAGACGGGGCTGGAGCAGTGCTGGAGGAGAAGACTCTGCATTGCTGCACCGCCCTCTTTGCCCCCGGAAGCCAGAAGAGCGTGGAAGAGATAGCGAGCCGCAGGTCCTTCTTCAGATTCTTGCGTTGGCCAGGGACCAAGAAGTACAGCTCAGCCGCCTGCTTTCTAAGGACCCAGTCAGTACAGAGGACCTGGAGAAGGTGGCGCAGTGCAGAGCAGGGCTGCTGGGCCACTATGAAAGAGTCATCCTCTCTGATGTGGGCTTCTCGGAAGTGCAGAACGTGAGCCAGGCCCTCTGGAAGAATGCTTTCCATCAGGTGATTGAGAGGTTAGGGCAACTCCTTCGGCATCCAAAGACCATGAACCCAGAGCACATGCACGAGAGGCTCTTGGCAGTCTTGGACCAGGGCACTGCCTTCTTTGAGAGTTTGCTGGAAAAACTCCAGAAGCAATACAGGTTTCGGCTGGCCGACCACACGGATGGATTGGGCCTTTGCACCAAGCCGTCAGAGGACCCCTTGAAGTATGCCTTGACCTGCGCCCAGAAGTATATGATTTGCCTAGGAGATATCGCCAGGTACCGGGAGCAAACCAGGGGCGCAACGAACTTTGCGCAAGCGCGAAGCTGGTACCTCAAAGCTCAACAGATTGATCCCTCAGACTCCCGCCCTTATAACCAGCTGGCACTGTTGGCGGTGTACACCAAGAGGAAACTGGAGGCGGTGTGCTACTTCATGAGAAGCTTAGCTGCCGCCAGCCCAAGTGCTTGCAGCCAGAAAAACCTCGCGAACCTCTTGGGAGCAACCGAACGCAAGGCAGCAGACAGAAGCAGGCTGGCGATGGGGAGCAGTCCCGGCGCCGGGGACCTTCAGCGAAGTTTCACCCGCAGTTTTCTCCAAGCTCACCGCCAGTTGTTTACAGGCCAGTTGGAGACGTTTCCTGAAGTGGCTGATCAGGTGCTCCAGACTTTCCAGCTCCTCCTACAACAAAGTCCCGCTTCTGTAGGAAATCCCCAAATGCTGCGCCTCGTGACCATCAACATCTTCGCTGCCCACAGCTCTCAGAAGACGGAGACGTCCTCAGAGTCACGCTGTCCTTCGGTCCAGGGAGAAGCTACGGGGCTAGGACTGGCCATGTTTAACGTGCTGGTGAGGTGCTGCACCTACTGGCTGGAGAAGTGTCCTAGAGCTCCCGTGTCCCCGCAGAAGGTGAGGAGAAAGCTCGTCAAATCATGGTTTCCTCCTTCAGCCCCGCCGTCAAAGCACTGCTCCCCAGTGTGAAAATTTGGTCGGAATGGATGCTCATCTCGAAGGCCGCCTGGGACCCTACTCCCACCACCCTGAAGCCTTACCCAGAGGTTTCCAGGGACGTGCGGGGGACTCTAGAACTTCTCTGTCAGACACTGATGACAGTGAATACTTCGGAGGTGCCCTTGTACATGAAACCGGGCAATGAACTCATCCTTCTCACCCTGGAAGAGGACCGGCTCTTCTCGGGCTTCGCCCCCTTACTGGCCGCTCCCCGAGACCCCTGCTACCTGAAGACAAACTCAGACAAGGTCGTGGCGGGGAACTGCAGGCGAGTGAGCTTGTTGAAAGATTTGCTAGAAGCCCTTTGCCGCCAAAGGATGAATCCTTGGCATCCAGAGACTGGCCATGCAAGAGTAGTGGAATGCAGGCAAAGGCAGACAAAGGAATCCTTGGAATGCAGAAATGCAGGGCCACCTGAGGCCCTGGCACCTGCTGCAGACTAGTCAAGAAGGAACTGCAAAGACAGCAGCAGCAGAGAAGACTGGGACTTCAGGAAGATTGGAAAGAATTCACAGACTTGTTTGTGGAAGGTAGGGGAGCTCCTGGCTGTGATATCAGGGAGCTGGAGGCCAAGAAGCTGGTGCTGGCCAAAAAGATAGCTGAAGAGGAGCAGCGTCGAGAGAAAATCGAGGCTATTCTGGAGGCGCCTGCTCAGGACAGGCAGACAGAAGAAGAGGTGAGCCCCAGGTTCCTGGTAATAGACACCAATAGCTTCATTCAACACCTAGAGAGCCTCAGCAAGCTGTTAAAGGAGAGGAAACACATCCTTCTGGTGCCCCTGATTGTAATCCATGAGCTCAGTGGCCTGGCCAAGGGGCAGCAGGGAGACATGCAAGGAGATGGGAAGGCTGGGACACACTCCTGTGAGCCTCAGCAGCAGGCCCAAAAGTCCATCAAATTCCTGGAGCAGCAATTTCAACTTGCCAACCCTCACCTCAAGGCCCTCAGCAGCCATGGGGAAGAGCTGGAAACCACTGCCTATGACAAGAAGGATTTCCTTAGCCAGCAGGGAAATAACGATGACCACATCCTATCCTGCTGTCTCAACTACCAGAGAGTTCAGGCCAAGAACAACATGCCTCCCACTAAGAATGACCAGATCCAGCCCCATCCCTGTGGCCTGGTTCTGCTCACCAATGATCGGACCCTTCGGGTGAAGGCACTGGCCTCCAGTGTGCCAGTGTGGGACAATGAAACATTCCTCAAAGAAATGAAGCGATTGAAATGTCATCGTCCTCCTCCTGCTCTTGGGAGACAGCACCAAGCTCCCAAGAGATTCAGGCCAGCACTAGATCTCTGAGGCTTCTTATTAGGGGCAAGCCTCAGCAGATTTGCAGGACTAAAAGTATTTGACTATCACTTAGGAAAGTTGTAGGATTCTTCTTTTAAAATTAATCATTTATTTTTCTATTTTTAGTTTTCAACATTAACTTCTCTAAGATTTTAAGTTCTAAATTTTTTGAAGGGTTTTTATTTCTTATATTTTTACTTATTAATTTTAGCTTTCAATATTTACTTCTATAAGATTTTGAGTTCTAAATTTTTTCCCCTTCCCTGTTCTTGCCTCTCCCCCAGATTGCATACAATCTGATATAGGCTATACATACACATTCCCATTAAACCTGGTTCCATATTCATCATGTCATAAAGAAGAATGAGAACCAAAAGGAAAAAGCAGGAGAAAGAAGAAATAAAAGCCAAAAGAAAAGAGAAAAGAGTATGCTCCAATCTGCATTCAGACTCTGTAGTTGTTTTTCTGGATGAGTGTAGCATTTTCCATCATGAGACTTTTGGAACTTTCTAAGATCCTTGCATTGCCGTGAAGAGCTAAGTCTGTCACAGTTGGGTCATTGTACAATGTTGCTGTTACTGTGTACAATGCCCTCCTGCTTCTGCACCTTTCACTCAGCATCAGTTCATGGAAGTCTTTTTTGGTTCGTGGCTTTCTAGTAGATCAATAATTCTTAAATGATCTCTCCTGGATCTATTTTCCAGGTCAGGTGTTTTTTCAATGAGGTATTTTACATTTTCTTCCACTTTTTCCTTCTTTTGATCTGACTGATTCTTGATGTCTCCTAAAGACATGAGCTTCCATTCGCCAGATTCTCATTTGGAACCAATTATTTTCTTCAGTTAGCTTTTTTTTTTAACCTCCTTTTCCATTTGGTCAATTCTACTTTTTAAGGAGTTGTTTTCTTCAGTGATTTTTTCCCCCTATTTGACCAATAGTATTTTTTAAAGAATCATTTTCCACAGTCAATTTTGGTCCTTCTTTTTCTAAGTTGTTGACTTTCTGTTGCATACCTCTCATTTCTTTTCCCAATTTTTCTTCTTACTTGACTTTTCAAATCCTTCTTTGAGCTCTTCCCAGAAGGCTTTCTGGGCTTGGGGACAGTTTACAGTCCCCCTTGAAGGTTTTGGATATGGACATGTTGACAATGTTGTCCTCTTCTGAGCCTGTGTTTTTATCTTGCCTGTCCTGGTAGACAGACTCTATGGCTAGTGTCTGTTTCTGCTTTTTGCTCCTGATGTTTGCCTATTTTCTGGCTTTTAAGGTGGAGTTCTCCTGTTGGAACACAGGGGCAGTGTCCCAGGGTTCTTGTGGTGGGGTCAGGGGTCTGGTCACTCACTGGCTTTGTGTGCTGGGGACTTGGGTGCTGGCATCTGGAGGCTGTAGGGGTCTGGCAGCTTACCTGGCACTTAGCTGGGGTTCTACCTGGTGTGTGCTGTGGCCAGGTGGGTTTTTCTGTGTTTCTCCAGGGCTACACCAAAGCATGTGAGAATCTGGCTGCTAGAGGATGCCTGTTGGCTTGGGGCTGAGCTGACGCATGGGGAGGTTTCGGCCACTGGAGGGTGCCTACTGGCTTGTACACATGATGATTCTGTGAACTGGAATCTGTTGTTTCCCTGGGTTGTGCCAAAACACAAGAGGGTCCTGGTGCTTTTGCTTGCCTGCTCCACCATCCTGGTGTTTGGGATTTCCCACAATGTTTGCTGAAGTGGGGTTTGCTGCTGGCTTGCCAGGATGACTCCCATCCTAGACTGGTCTCCCCTTTCACCACGGCAAGGGCGACTTTTCCCTCTGATCCTCTAAGCTTCCCGGGCTAAAAGACTGCTCCACCCCATCTTTCTGCTGGCTCCACTATTCCAAGATTTTTCCTGGGGTGCCGTTTTCTGGGTTTTTCAAGGGTCTGTAAGGGAGACCGGTATTTACTGCTTACTCTGCCACCTTGGCTCCTGGAAGTCTGACTTGTACAATTTTTAACCAAGATATTTGGTGTTCCTGTCATAATGTTAAAACCTTAAATTTGGTCCTTGATTACTGTGTTTTGAAACAAATTCTTTCAATTCTTCATGTAAAAATCTTTCAATTCTCCTCCTCCTCTTCTTCCTCTATCTCTTCTTTCTCCTCTCCTCTCCTTTTCTCCTTTTTTCTCTTTTTCTCTCTCTCATCTCTTCCTATCTATCTATCTATCTATCT